AATACAAATTACTATTGTCTAAAAATATAAAATACATTCTGGTTCTATAAAATGATTAAAAGAGGGTTAAAGATAAGTAAACTTAGTACAAGTTAAAAGTGGAGTTGCTTATTATTTATCATCTTCTTTATTGTCAACCGTCAAACTTCAACCGTTTAGCCGCTAGAGGGCGATTCTCGATTTTGAGCGACACTGTGGAACCTTTATAACTTTTTATTGTTTATGAAAAAAATTGATTTCCGTAAAAACTTTATAGAAGCACTTTTTCACAGAGAATTCAGTGACGTTCTCAGTTTTTTTCTACTTGGTCCCGATTTCGAGATATTGATCAAATTTCGATTTTTTTCAATAAGACACCCTATATATTAATAGCCCATTAGAAAGCTCTGCTTTTGCTGCTTTCAACGATACAAATTTCGATAAGTTTATCTCCACAGTTTTCGAGAAAAAAATTATTTTGCTTTTTTTTCATAAGAAACAATGTGTGAAAAGGACTTTATGTCTGTGAGGAAAATAAGAAAGGTCTCTTTTAACACATTGTTTCTTATGTCAAAAACCAAAATAATTTTTTTTCCCAAGAACTGTTAGAGGCGGAATTTATAAAATTTGTACTGCAGCGGGAAAATGTCAACTTTTTTGCAATATTGCAAAAAAGTTAGGGCTGGTTTTTCAATAGCAAGTCACCCTCGGATCAAGCATTTTAACTACAACCCGAAGGTGGCTCGTTATTGAGAAACCGATCTCAAAACTATATTTAACTTTTGCGCGAGTTTTTATCCTCTGTCACTTTTTACTGTCACCCACAGCTGTTACCTTTGAGATGTATGGTATGACCAAAGGTATGACACTTCTTAAACGGAATCATTCGGCCTTTGTAGGTACCTACATGCCCATTTCAAGGTTAAAAATAAATAAGTGGGGTTTCTATAAAAATCCTTTTAATTAAATACCAAATATCTACGCCACTGAACATCTGGAAAAAACCTCGGAAAAAACTGATGCATATCTATTTGGTAGCAAATTTTCTTCTCTACAATTTTTCTTTTTTGACGTTTTTTCTTAAAATGCTTAGTTTTGGGGTTATCAAGAAAAATGTAAACAAAAGTAGATTTCATTCCACTTAGGGGGTGGTTTTGGGGTGACGGGCTCAACGCTTCGGTGCTGGAGTTTCAGAACGTATTCAGTACCCTAAAACAAAGTCTCTTACCAAATTTCAGCTTGGCTCTAATTTGTTGAACGTTACCTCTACAGTGTGTCCCGGACTGACCACCCTTCTAAAATTTTTGTTTTTTAACCAATTCAATTTATTTATTTTTGTTTTATATCTACTCAAATTTGGCACTTATTAGGCTCATAGTTTTATTTCTGCGGCTGTACTAGTCTACAGGGTGTCCACATTTATAGGTTCAAATTTCAATAAGTACCATTGGGGATTTTTTTAGAAAATATCTTAAAGCAAATTCTTGTTAGGAATGGTCTAAAACCCAAATGTAGTAATTTTTGATTCAATGTGATGCAGTGTGATCACAACAAATATTCAAAATTGAATGGACCAAACTGCATAAATGTCATATTTTGAGGCCTTGAGAACAACAAAACCGAGGGGTCAACCACTTCCCGAAATACGGGTACACTTGTCCCGAATTACCTCCGAAATACTTCGAAATACCAGGTATTCCCGTCGAAGTACGTAAAATACCGAGTAAAATAACATGGAATTACCGTCGAAGTACGCGAAATACCCTCCAACTACACGCGAACTCCCGCAATACTTCTAAAAAAACGTATTAAGTATTCTTGTGGATCGCAGTGAAGAATTTTTACTCGGATTTTTGTGTCTTTTGTTATGATGGATTTTATTCGGACACATAGGAGATAGACAATTTAATCAATAGTTAGTGATGCAGGTGACTGTTACTTCTACAATGCTGTTAGGTACAGAGTCATCCAACGAGGACTGAACAGGGGCAATTTTCGACTTTCCCTGTATTTTTGAGAAAATCCAAAATAGCCAATTGGAATATTTTTCTATGGAGAATTCAAAAATAGTACCAAAAAATCGTTTAAACCAATAAACAAGGAGTTACGCCATGGGTGAACTGTTTCTTAAATAGAAGGCTCTGTTTTTTGTATGGTTTTTGGCAAAGTCTAATTTTTTACGTTTCGAACAGCTCATCCATGGCGTAATTCTTTGGTTCAAATGATTTTTTGGTACCATTTTTGAGTTTTCTCAAACTAACTAACTGACATTGGTTAGCTGATTACTTATACCTATCAGGTATAGTTGAAATCACGATAGAAAGTTAAGTTGACAGCTCGCGTCGACATTTCTAGTAACTTTTTGTTTAGGCTGCCAGCATGCGTTAGTGCTTCGATTCCGTCAGCTGGGATAAACGACAGGGTCGTATTCAGAAAAGTGATATACATTTCAGAATAAAAATTTATTTCCAATTTCTTTAAAGGAAGTTGAGTTATTAAAATCCAAAAATCCAAAAATTAGAGTCCAAAGTAAACACTTATTAAAAGAGTAAACACTTAAATCTAAACTAAAACCAGGTTTGAAACGCAACACCGAAACACAAAGGCACAGAACACTACATAAAAAACCAAAAAACCTATTTCGAATATAAGAAATTAAAAAATAATGCAGAAAATGGCAAAAATCCAAAAAGATTTCACACAATTTGAAATTCAAAATTTAGAGACCCGAATCTGATATTTTCATGTGTCAAATCGAAATGTCATGTATCATTATTTGATAGTTGACAGAAAAATGGACAGATCTGGGGATTTTATTATACTTTCAACTGGTGAAAATAACGGTCAAAATTCAAACTCTATCATGAATACAACTATAGTATATCTTTCCATTTGTTTCAGTTTATCTGCAGTAGGTATCTCCAAATTATGTCAACATATTTAGCTTGTTCGAAGATGTACTATAATTAAACAATAATTTATATTCCAATTTAGGGTAATAAAGAATTAATTGTAATTGTTCTCGGTGAATAAATAAAAACTAAGTACTTTTAAATACCTCGAAATACCTTGGCTTTCCGCGAAATACTTCAAATTACCTCGAAATACTTCGAATTACCTCCAAATACTTCGAAGTACGGCAATACCACAAAAAACTAGGTTCGAATTGCCACCACCAAAATACTTTGAATTTTGCGAAATACTTACGAAATACCGACATTTTCGCAATACGTGTACACATTTTTACAGAGTGGTTGACCCCTTGAACAAAACTTAATACAACGTAGTTTTAGAACATCCTTAACCAACACTTGTAGTGAGCATGTCTCAAAATAAGACATTTTTGTGATATGATTCATTAAATTTTGAAAATTTCTTGTTAATAAGTACCCTGTATTGTATTGAAACAAAAATGAGTACATTTTGGTTTTAGACCATTCTGAACAAGATTTTTTCTAAAAAAAAATCCCTAATAGTAGGTACTTACTTATTGAAATTTGAGTCTATAAATGTGGACACCCTGTACACCAGTACAACCGCAGAAATGAAATTATGAGCCTAATAAGTGCCAAATTCTAATAGATATAAGAAGACCAAAAAAAATTGAATCGGTTGAAAAATAAAAATTTTAGAAGGGTGGTCAGTCCTTGGGACCAGGGCCGTATCTAGACCAAAATTTTGGGGGGGTTAGATAAAATGGCAAAAAAAAATTGTTACAATAGTAATAAAAATAAAAAAAAATAAAAAAGGTATTTAATAAGTGTTGTTTGTTTTTAAGTTAAATTTTTTGAATTTTATTATTTTTTGGGGGGGGGTTTGAACCCCCAAAACCCCCCCCCCCCCTAGATACGGCCCTGCTTGGGACACACTGTACATAAAACGATAGATAGGCCCTGTACTATTGGCAATTAAATAACAAAGGATAATAGAAGAGTATACTAAATTTGCTTTATTAATAATGATTAAAACCCTACAAATTGTTACTCAACCAATAGAAGTGAAGAGAAAATATTTTGTTAAAAGCAATAGGATGTTTTGAAAGGTATTTGCTCGGGTATTTGCTTAAATTTTTCAAGCAAGTTACTATTTAGGTATCCATCTGGCATTTTATTAGGGTCAAACCAAGAAAATATTTCCTAAATAATTGAACCAAAATGGTTCATTTAAAAGAGTCAACATGCTGATTATCAAACTATCAAAATATTTATTTGCCAGGAACTTTGCAAATTTGGTATTTTTAATATAACCTATCTATGATTCTCTTGCCATCAACAATGTTAAACATCTAAATTTCAAACTGATGATAAATAAATAATTATAATTAAGTAGGAAATTCAAAATTAATATCCATTTTAGTAGGTATATGAAAAATTATAGTAAAAATCCAATTCCTTCCAAATAGTAATATCACAATGTAGAACAAAGGCAACATAATCTTTCAAAATGCTGTTGTTCACACACTTGTGTGGAGTTTGGAGCATTGCCTGGAATATTTGAGAAATGTCACAAGAATTTGATAAGATCTTCCTAGAATATTCTAAACATCCAATGGATTATTCTTTGTAGGGTAACAGTCTCGGTAACAGTGAAAACATATTTGTGTTTGTAAAAAAGAACCAAGCATTTTTAAAATAAATATTCTATAATTTAATTTACTCTCGAGTTCAACAATGGAATATTCTTGGGAATATTGTTGTATCCTAACAAACGAATTTATAGCAAATAATAAAGAAATCAACAATAACAATGATTATTATTACTCTGTAATTTTTCAACAATTCATGACCTAAATATTATGTAAAAATAATCACAATATATACCTAAATTACATCAAGGATTTTTTGTATTTCGTAGAGGACAGAGGTCATTTTGATAGTGTATAAACAATAAACATGAACCAGTGACCAGTGGTCATCGATTTAGGATTTTATACTCTTAAAATATATTTCTAATGCGCATGTTCACACACTTTCATTAAACAACAAACAACAAACAACCAAAAATATAAATAATATACTTACATTGTAAATTGGCGAAGACACAGGCGAAGGATAGAGTGAAGATAACTACAAAGGCTTTCATTGTTGAATCTATCAATAACAAAGGAAAAAATGTGATAAAAAAATGTGACCTCAAGTGGCTTAAATAAGTAGGATTTTACGTTAGCCTGCCTTTACACTCACTGGTGTAGAAGGACGACTTTTCAAACTAAATTGTTTAATTAAATTGTTAATATATTTGGAGTTTTTTTGTTGCACACGACACTAATAATTATCGCTATCTTAACCTCTCTTTGAATCATAGAACTTGAGTTGAAATCGCACGACACACTACAGCTGGTTGTTTTCGTGTTTGTTTGGGACCTTGGCGCCCGACGTTGCCGTTGTGCTTGACTCGAGTTCAAAATCCATCTCGATAAAATATACTCAAAGTTTATAGAAATAAATTATAATATATAAATAATAAATAATTTAGGTATTTCTGTAAACTTTGCTATTATGGATTATAATTAAATGCTCGGGTACGATTAACAATTTGTGAAATTATAAATATACACCCTATTATTGCAAAGAGGTCAGAATAGGTACAGTGGGAATCATTGCAATTGGCACACACTATATAAATATCCATCGTAATGTGTCAGCAGTAATAGCAAAATGCTGCACTAAATAGATTTATTGGTTAGAATTGTGACTCAATACGAGGGATTTTGAAGAGTGTGTGCCAATTGCAATGATTCCCACTGTACCTACCTATAAGTATATTATTATAGTAGGTAGTAATTGCGATCAAAAAAAGTAGTACAAGAAAAATCTCCAAAATCTCCTGGTCTATTATACATTATATAAATTCATAAACAAAAATGACATATTTTTGGCATTTTTCCACAAGTTTTCAACCTAGAAAGCTTCAGATGACATTACTTTGGCATTTTCCACCCATTTTTAACGAATATGTCATTCCTTGTCAAAATTATGTATGTTACACCGGGAGCTCAAATTGGGGTTAATAATTTTTGTACTACTTTTTTTTGATCGCACCTCTGTACCTTAGTCGTAAAAACGTTGTTTCGATATCACGTAATGGGCCACGTCCAAAATTTTTTTCAAAAACACAGTAGGTATGCTTGATTATCCTCGCGAAAAATTGCCTTTTGATTCGAATTCACGCAAACCTTATTAAGTAATTCAAAAAGCCTCTATCAAGTCACTACCCAAAATACTCAATGTGAGTTATTTATTAACCTGCGGTCCCTGCGGACCTTACCGGAAGGCATTTTGGAGCCAGTCGAAAGAGTGAAAGACCATCTACATACAAATGCCTGGCGAGAATTGTGGACATTTTTATCTTGCCAGACCTTCCCGGATAGGAAACCGTCAATTCAAACAATAGAAATAATTTCGTATTTTCGTATCATCGTATCGTCGGATAACGGACGCATGAGAAGGAAGATATACCTCATTCTCACTTGCGCGAAATTCGCTCTTTTTACGCGAAATTCGCTCTTTTTTTGACATTGCTTCGACAATTTGACGTTTTATGCGTGTATCAAACGCAAAATTGTCGAAGCAATGTCAAAAAAGAGCGAATTTTGGGCAAGTGAGAATTATGCCTAGCTCATCAATTCTCGAATTTCGCGCAAAAAGGGCGAATTTCGCGCAAGCGAGAATGAGGCATAGCTTCGACAATTTGATGTTTTATGCACGTATCAAACGTCAAATTGTCGAAGCAATGTCAAAAAAGAGTGAATTTCGCGCAAGTGAGAATCAGGCTGAAGCTGCGAAGTTTGAGCTCAAGTCAAAATTTTGCCCTAAAATTCAAACAATTTTCCTGGAAATTAGAAAAATAAAGTTACGTTAAACTAGTATTTTTGAAGCATATTCATGATTCTTTAAATTCGAAAATTCAATTTTCTTCTGGAATTTATTTCTCCCTGAATTTGTCATTTGCAAATAGCCAGCTCTGTTTCAACAGACATGAGACCCGTTCTAGAACGGTAATTTCTAGTCGATCAATTGATTTGTCAAGTAGTTCTGGAACGGTTCTCATGTCGGTTGGAACAGAACTGTTATAGGGTCATTTTGACTGAGTTTAAAGATGTTCTATTGATTGTTGACATTTCTCTATAAGGGCGAGTGCCGATGTCTCATGAGCGTAAGGTAAGTTGACATTTCTGGTATAATCACTTGATATTACAGATATTCTTTCGATCTGAACAAACTGATAGTAATCACATCTAAGCTGTTTTCTCGCGTTCACTTTTTTGAAACCGGTTCAAAACAGGTTTGAAACAGTATATTCTCGCGATGAACCCATGACGTCACATCAAAATTGGTTCAAACCGTTTCGAAACACAATCCAATCCAAGTTTTCAAACCATTTTCTCGCGTCGAGAAGTTATGACGTCATGTGACACTGTTTTAAACCAGTTTTGAACAACGTTTTAAAACATTTGAGACGCGAGAAAACACCTCAGGTTTGTTTATGAGGCGACAAAAAGTTTGTTCAGATCGAAAGAACATTGGAATATGGTGTAATTTGATTGGTTAAATCTGGAGCATGGCGAATATTTTACCAATAAAATCCAACCATTTTATCACTTAGCATAGTAGGCGACATTAGGTCTGTTCGCACAGAAATCACAAATTAGTCAGAGTGAATTTCATTGGTTGAAACTAGTTTTCTGAATGTTTCTGACAGTTTTCAACCAATGAATTTCGCTCTAACTGGTTTGTGATTTCTGTGCAAACAGACCTTCTATTTATTTATTTACTTATTTACTTGTTTTGTTTTATCGATATAAATGCCGCCCCAAATTTTGCCGCTCCGGGCAAATGCCCGGGTTGCCCCCACCTAAAGCGGGCCCTGATCGGCCTGATCCGATGAGCGCACGGCTACACGATGCCAAAAATCGCTATGTGTCCAACGTTGGAAGGCATTCGACACATCGTGTGGCGCCGGCCTTAATCTACGACAACCTTTTCTTTTCAAGTCATGACGTGTTCGATGTCAAAAGTATGAACCCTCGTGAAACAATCTATAAATCTATATGTAATATGTAAAGCCCGCATCACATCTGTGTATTTTTTCGTGTTTTTCCACATGTATTTATGCATGAAGAAATACACGAATGTAAAGCGAACATATTAGCAGTGTATTTGGCACTTTTGACAGCTGCTCACGAAAAAAATTCATGAATTTATACATGCATAAACATAGAGCTACTTCGGTATTATTCTGCACATGCGCACGTTATCAAACGTGTTTTCGTTTTTTTAGAATCGTTATCGAACTGTGTTGACAGTTGACAGCGTTTTGGTTTATTTAGAACTATATAAGAACGATTCTGGGATTGTTCTAGAACGGTTCGCGCAGTTTTTGCTCTGAAGGAGGAACTATTTTGAAATTTTGTGAAAAGCGGCTTGTTTTAAGCAGTTCTGCGCAATCCCAGAACCGTTCCAAATTTAGAACTAAAACAAAACAAAGCTATAGTGGTAGCCCGAGAACACTCCACCAAACAGAATTGCTCGTCCTAATAAGGCGCACTATTGCGATAAAAAAAAGTATTTAGTACAAAAATTATTAACCCCAATTTGAGCTCCCTAGTCTGAGGAGCTCCCGGTGTAACATACAAAATTTTGACAGTAAATAAACATTTCAAAATATAATTAAGGTAGAGAGAAAGTTGTGGGTTAAGGACGAAGTGGAATAGAACTTCCTTATTCACAAATTCGCCGGACGTTTCGACCTTTTATTGAGGTCTTTATCAAGGCTCTTTATAGGCATTGATGTGTTAATTGTGTCATACTCAGTGCTGCCCAAGTACTCGAATATTTTTACTCGTATCGTATTTCAGTTACGGATAAAAAAAACTACTCGTAACTTCTACTTATAAGTATTTTAAATTTGAAATACTTATTACTCGTACTTACGAGTAAATTTAAATGTATTCGTAAAATTCTATTCGTAGAATACGAATATATCTTACGAGTAGTTGCTTGTGGTGACTCCTAACATACATTTTTCGATTCTGATGATTCTGAAACACCTGAGAACGTTCCCGGAACAAGTTTTCCTCAGAATGAATCGAGTTTTTCAGAAAAAGCAAATTTAAAGTTTTAAAAACCACTGTTTTGATTTGTTGTTCTTCAGTTTATTATAATTGATTTTTAAGGATTTCTCTATAAAGCTTTTTGATTTTAGAATTTGAGCTTAATTTAGTTTAGTTTCCCAGAATTTTATTCTCAATGTTTTGTAGGTACCTATACTTATGTCTAAAAGATTTATGTATTATATCGTTGATTTATATTTAGTATAAGTTATACAAAGTCAATCTGAATAGTATAAAAACTTTGTGTGAATTTCATCTTCTTATGAAATTAGGCATATGCGTGCAACAGCCATGCCACCTACACAGTTTTTATGCTATTCGGATTGACTTCGTATAAATTATACTGAGGTAAATAAAGATATTATTTTTTGATTTCATTCGATTTCCCCCTATTATTAGATTAAACTTGTGAAACTATTCCGAACTCTTTACTCGTACTTTTACGATTACTACTCGTAACCGTAAACCGCCTCTATGAAATAACTTATTACGAATAAAATACTTACAAATACATTTTTTAAGTACTGGTACTCGTAGGTTGTACGAATATATATTTTTTTTTACTCGTGCCCAGCTCTGGGTCATGCTCCCCTAACTCCCCCACAATCAAATTCTGGGATACTCCAGGATCCAGAACATTTAATTTCTTCTGTGAGAACACACCGAAAATCACCTCTTCTACATTTAAAATTGACGACAAAATTAACTCACTAGCACAGCCTGAATCGCAAGCATTTCATTGAGGTCTGCGGGTGACGTCATCACTATAAGCTGATGATAGTGACGTCACTCGCAGGCACAGAACTTGATGGAGAGGAAGTTAGGGGAGTATGACACATCACATAACATAACCCAGCATAATCAGATTATGCTAAGTTATCCTTATGAAAAATTGCCTATAACAGAAGTTTCCAAGTCAAAAGGGCCAAAAGGCTCACAATACAACTCCATGATAGGTACACAACAAGACAAACGCGACAATACTTTTTCAACATCTACCTACATTTAAAATTCGGTGTTTGGTATGGTCTGTGGTCGTGTCGCTATAACTGTACCCATGTCCCTTTTTACACATTTTCTGGTCATCAGAAAAATAACATGACATGTGTCATAATCGATTTTTTGGTTATCGAACATGCCCTAACGATCCCCAAAAAAGTTTTTGAAAGTTTTTTGAAAAAAGGAATAATTAAAGGGGGTGTGCGCCAAAAAAAACAACTTCATCTCTATTTAAAAAAAGAGAAAAAAAAATCTAAGAATAACAGTGAAAACCGCAACCCTCTATGACAAATAATACTGAAGATATGGCTCTATGAACGTACCGAATCTCACCCTATGACGTCACGAAAGCTCAAGCGACGCACGAGAAAGTGAAGTAAATTGAATGCACATATGTTTTTCCTGTGTCACCTGAAATAATCTAAACAAAAACCACTCACGCGTGCCGGGAACAATCAAATTAACAATGCGGAGCGCGGCTGGACGAAGCTCTCGTGACGTCACACACACTTTAAAGCGGTATATCTCAGCGATGGTTTATCGTAGAATAACGAGGTTTCAACAGTTATTTTTAGATTTTTTTACACTAAAACTTTAATTTTTGGCGCACATGCACCCCCTTTAAGAATTTTCCCATATGTACCCAACCTTATGGCGCACACTGTATGAAGAGCCTTGAAAAGACCTCAATAAAAAGGTCTAAACGTCCAAACCACTATCAGCTGCTGATAGTGGTAGAGCGATGGAATCCTTGCGATTCAGGCTGCGCTTGTGAGTGGATTTTTTTGTGGATTTTAAATGTATAAAAGGTGATTTTAACGTTCAGGAATTCGTTTTTTCGAACTAAAGTATTTTAAATCCGGAGAAATGCATTTTACGCCAAGAGTTGAGGTCTGCGGCTGACGTCACAGTGGGAGTTGTCGCATGGACATGACATAGCAGACCACAGGGCCGGTATTCTCGTTCTCGAAAACGCTCACCGCTTTTTAATCCTTCGGCTTTTCTAATGTTAGTTTCGAGTTTTGGAAACGAGCAACAATTAACATGTCCACACTGATGAAAATAAAGTTGAAAAACATAAAATTTTGGAAAATGTGTCAGGAACAAGCAACATAAATACAATGTTCATATGTTATGTGTTGCTTTCATTCAGTGAGGACGTAGCTTATCTTATAACAATAATCAAACTTTGAGCTAGGCACAAAAAGACTCTATTCTTAGCCTGATGACATAAATAACTATTATTATTGGGTCTGTTTCTGCAGAAATCACAAACCAATCAGTAGGTCTGTTTCTGCAGATATCACAAACCAGTCGGAGTGAATTTCATTGGTTGAAACTAGTTTTCTGACTGTTTTCAACCAACCAATGAAATTCGCTCTGACTGGTTTGTGATTTCTGCAGAAACAGACCTATATAAACTCAAAAAAATAGTTCAACAACCAATTGTGTAAATATTTAAATAAAAATTAAAAAAAGTTGAGTAATTAAACTTACCAGATGAAATAACTTAGGGATAAAGCCGACAATGGAAAATTAACAATGACTAAGCTTTTGCACACCACCTATAATCTATAATCACACAATTCAAACAAAAAACTGAGTGCAAAGCAAACCGTGCACAGTTGGCAACACAGCCAATGACGAAAACGAGATATCTGTGTATCGAAATATGCGTAGTAAACCCCAAGGCAGAGTGTTTTTATACGGTGTGCTATCTTAAAGTGTTCTATATTGAATAAAAGGCTGTTTTTAGGGCTATTGTATTTTAAATCGTTGTTGAATTTCGGTCATTTGTGATTACGCTGGCGAGATACCAGGTAAATTGCTGATTTTATTAATATAATAGCAGAGGGGGCGGTCATATCCTTACCAATCATCGACCAGACTAGTAAACAAAGGACTTTAGATATTTTTCAAATTTTTAATTTTGTTCCAGTTGAATATTTAGCCATAAATAAAACGTGTTGTTTTTTTTTGTGCAGCATAAATAATAATCCCAACTTGTACAGTTTGAGGTTAGGTGTGTAGAAATGTTGTTGTTTGCAGTTGTAGCATTGTTTTAATTTTAATTTATTTTTTCCAGGGATCATGAAGGCCATCGTTATTTTCTTTGCTCTTGTAGCTGTAGTCAGCTGCTCCGACGAATGTTACAGGGATGTCGTTGCTACTTGTAGCAATACCTTATCTAAACAACGTAAGTGATTTTTTTTAGTAGGTATTCCATTTTAACATTTTACAGTACCTAGTGAGTGAGTACTGTTTTTTTTTTTCACTTCACCAGTATCAAAATAAATTATTATTCCAAGGAACAAGGAACCTCAATTTTAATATTCACTATCAAATCATTTTATTTTAAAAAGAACAAGGCACTAACCTTGACCTGAAATTTGCAAAAAACAACATGCATCATTATTTTTGCTTATTTTGCCATGCCATAAACACAACACAAATAAACAATTATTATTCTAACAAATAATTTAATAGAGTTATTTTGAGAACTTTCATTAGATAAGTATACAGTAAGTATACTCTTATGGCCGTTTCCACCAACAATTTTAGGGGAGCCCTTACGATAAATATTTCCTAAAATGACATTTTTACATATGAAGAAATGTCAGTTTAAGGGAGGTTTAAGGCATCCCTATCGTTAGGGCTCCCCTAAAATAGTTGGTGGAAATGGTCATTAAACAAAGGTGATCGGTTAGAGCAGCATAAAATAATGGAATTTCCATCTGTTAAATATGGACAATTCTTAATCGGTCGTTTAACAAAGGTGGTCACTATCTAACAAAAGATTTACTTTACTTTGTAGAACTACAAAAGATTTTATAGATCCATAAACCACCATTTAGTAAAGTGCCCAAAGAGTTAAAGCCTTCTAAAAATGAGTTTTGGAAGCGCATCGGGGTTACAAGCTGAAACTTGCACAGAATGAAAAATTTATAATAATAATTCAAAATCTCAAAGTAATACAAAATCAGAATAGGCAAAAGGTCAGTATATTTAAAAATTGAGACTATTGCATGAACGTTTAAGAATGGTAATTTATGACTTCTCATATAAAATTTATCCATATTGCTCAGTTACCGTTGGGCAAATTGCATTAAAATTTTCAGCATTTGTAGCTCTTATTAAGCTCTAAATGGCCTGTAATTGAAAATATTCCCAGATTCATAATTTTTCAACAAATTGAGTTTGAAGCTTTTGACAAAATTTGCACTAAAAGTCAACTTTGAAGCTCAATTGCTCAAAAATTATTTAAGCTATTGAACTCAATTTTGCATAGGTTTATACAGAATTTAATGTTCTTTCCAATGGACTATAATGTAATTCAATTTGCTCAAAATTTACCAAAGATATGGGCAATTGTTCATGACCATGTCAAGATTTTGAAAATTTTCCAGAGCCAAAAATAAGATTCTCTTTTTATTTTTGTCTCTGCTTAAAACGGCCATTTGGAATTGATGTCAGGGTTATTTTCCACTAATTTTGACCCGCTCTATCGATTAATAAAATCAAAATTGAGCAAAACTGGAAAATTAAAAAAATCGAGTTTTTCATAAGGGTACCCTCTTTGAATTCTGACTTCAAAATATTGAAACCTCAATTGCTCGGTAATAAGCGAATTGCATTAAAATTGCCAGAATCTGTGGCTTTTATTAAATTCTAAATGGCCTGCAATTTACAGTATTTCCAGATTCATAGTTTTTGAGCAAATTGAGTTTGAAGTTTTTGACAAAATTTAGACTAAAAGTCAACTTTGAGGCTCAATTGCTCAAAAACTATACGAACTATCAGACCCAATTTTGCACAGATTTATAGAGAATTTAATGCTCTTTCCATTGGTATATAACTTATTTCAATTTGCTCAAAATTTACCAAAGATATGGGGAATTGTTCATGACCATGTCAAGATTTTCAAAATTTTCCAGAGCCAAAAATAGGATTTTCTTTTTATTTTTGTCTCTGCTTAAAATGGTCATTTGGAATTGATGTCAGGGTTGTTTTCCACTAATTTTGACCCGCACTATCGATTAATCTACCATTACGAAGTGTATGCGAACAGTCATAAATAATTAATATTCTATATTTCCATGCAATAATCTCAGTTTTTAAATATACAGCCCTTTTGCCCGTTCCTGATTTTGTATTACCCTGGGATTTTGAATAAACATAATAAAACCTTCATTCTGTGAAAATTTCAGCTTGTAACTCCGACGCGCCCACAAAAGTCAAAATATATTATAAGGAGTACTCTACTAATTTCCACAATAGGCCACCAAATAAAATGTTTGTACTCCTTTACTTTTTTCACAAAATCAATTTTCTTGCAATTTATTACAATATTTAGCCCTTTCTTTGGAATATCTACAGTCCACCCTCGAGTCCACCTAAGTTCACAGCATATGGGAAATTTTTTTATTATCAATTTTATGAAAAAAAAATTATTCTTCATAAAAGTTTTCGCTCGAGTTTCCGCTTCTTGAAAAAATAATATTAAACTATTAAAACTTGAAATAGCATATAGAGGGTGGTCAGAAAATGGAAAAATATACAGGGTGTTTCTTAAGTACGGTTTGTAATTTCAGGATGGGATTCCTTACAATATTTTAAGAAAAAAAGTCCCATAAACATGTGTCCGGAAATGCGTTATTTCTGAGATACCTACAGGGTGTCAAAGTTTAAAAAAAAAAATATTTATAGCTCAAAAACCCCTTTCTCGATTTTCGATAAAACTTGGCAGATTTATTTGTAATAACCGAGGTAATAACAAAAGGTATCTTTTGACTCGATTAGATTTACCGTTATTATGCCAGTGGCGCCCCAGGAAGCAATTTCGATTTTTTTTATTTTAAACTTTGACACCCTGTATCTCAGAAATTACGCATTCCTGGACACATGTTTATGGGAACTTTTTTTCTTAAAATATTGTAAGGAATCACATCCTGAAGTTACGAACCGTACTTAGGAAACACCCTGTATATTTTTTTCATTTTCTGACCACCCTGTACATGCTATTTCAAGTTTTAATAGTTTCATATTATTTTTTCAAGAAGCAGAAACTTTTATGAAGAATAACTTTTTCTCGTGAAATTGATAATAAAAAAGTTTCCCATGTGCTGCAAACTTGAGTGGACACACTGTACAGGGTGTCACGAAAGGTTTGTTACAAACTTCTAGGGATGGTAGATCTCGTAAAAATAAAACTTTTTTCTTGATAAACATGTGTCCGGAAATGCTTCGTTTTCCAGATATACAGGGTGGCCCAAATTTGAGCCTCATCATTGGGATCTTGGTAACCGTAAGAGATACGGGGTCGGTTAAATTATGGCAAAGTTGCGCAATTTTATGACCAATAGAATACCGTTTTGAAACTAGAAAGATTCCTAATACTTCCGGAGGTATTCGGAAAAAACCAAAATTAATTTTGAAAAATCGTTTTTTTTTCTTGGGCTTATTTGAAAAGCAATTTTAAAATGAATGTCACTTCTTCCCCTTTAGAAGAGAAAGTGACAATGGGAATGTGAAATTAGTTTTTCAAAATCTTTTTAAATGAAATCAGGAAAAAATTTAAGAAAAACGAGAAATTCATGTTTTTTTCGTATAGTTTTCATTTTTTCCTGATTTTATTTAAAAAGATTGTGGAAAACTAATTTCACCTTGCCATTGTCACTTTTTCTTCTCTACAAGATGGCGGTATTAAATTTAAAATCCAATGTTTCGTTCCTCTGAAATCATCATTAATTTTTTTTTTTAATACGGACCTGCTTTTTTTGCTATGTTATTGAAAAATTATAAACAGTATCGGTTTTAGGATGCGCAAAGATGACAAAATCGCAAATAAAAAATCCAGGTCCGTATTTAAAAAAAGGAAGTTGAGGATGGCCACCTGAAGACGAAACGTCGAATTTTAAATTTAGTAGCACCATCTTACAAAGGAGAAAAAGTGACAATGATGAAGTGACATTTATTTTAAAATTGCTTTTCAAATAAGCTCGGGAAAAAATAAAAACGATTTTACAAAACTTTGGTTTTTTCCGAATATCTCCGGAAGTATTCGGAATCTTTCTAGTTTCAAAACGGTATTCTATTGGTCATAAAATTGCGCAACTTTGCCATAATTTAACCGACCCCGTATCTCTTACGGTTACCGAGATCCCAATGATGAGGCTCAAATTTGGGCCACCCTGTATATCTGGAAAACGAAGCATTTCCGGACACATGTTTATCAAGAAAAAAGTTTTATTTTTACGAGATCTACCATCCCTAGAAGTTTGTAACAAACCTTTCGTGACACCCTGTATAAAGAAGGTAATCTTTTTATTTGTTTTTAGTTGACTTATCCAAACCAAAATTTTAATAAAAAATCAAATCCATGTTCTAAATAAGTACTTTATAAATTGGAAATATGTAGCTCTACTTATCTAGTGTACCTGCCTTCTTCATTATGGACAAAGTTCAAAATCTGTATTTTATTTTATAAGTACCTCGATAAGTACATACACTCAAGTTAAATCAATATCAATATTTAAATTACAAAGTCTCCTCTATGGAATATTTTTTCAATTCCCAGAAAATATTGTATTAATATTAGAGTCTAATTAACAATTTTTAATCTAAAAGTTGACTAGATAGCTAACAATTATTTTATCTAGACCCACAAAGCACTTAAATAAAAGCCTTTATCATCAGACATGATGATTTATTGCTTCATTTTAAATAATATTGAAACATTTTATTGCAATTTAAATACTATTTAATTATAAAGATAATATGATTATTGAAATATTTTATCAATCCATGTTAATGATTAGGACAAAGGAAAATGCCTATCTAGAAAGAATTTTGAAATGTGATTAAAAATAACAATAATTAGATTTACTTCTTTTTGTCTTGATCAACAAATTTGATACACAGTTAAGCTAATTATTGGTTTGAGTATGCCAAAGTTTGTACAGGGTGTTTCAAATTCGAGCCACATCATTGGAATCGTGGAAACGGTGAGAGGTTCAGGGTTGGTTAAATTGGTGCAAAGTTGCGTAATTTGATGATTAACAGAATGCTGCTCTGATATTTAGGTTATTTCGGAGCTATCCGGGATACAAACAAAATTCTGCAAAACTATTTTTATTTTTTTTGACTTTATTTGGAGTGATATTGCAAAAAAAAAAAAACATCACTTCAACATAGTTA